ATATATATATATATATATATATATATATATATATATATATATATATATATATATATATATATATAATTTTAGTTGTTTCGTTTTTGTGTATGTGCAGTGAAACTGCTTGAAAATGCAGTCCGGAATTGGGACATATTTTACAAGGTGAGTTTGGGGTGTATGTACACCTCATCTTTTTGTTTTGTTTTTTATATGAATTATTTCTTTTTTTTATTATATTATTTATTTATTTTTTTTATTTTTATTTTTGTTGCAGCATAATAAAGACCACTTCTTTAAAGACAGAGCCTGGCTAGCGAAGGAAATCCCCGAAATTGCTGCTGTCTGCAGCGCGGCAGCAGCAGCAGCAGCAGCAGCAGCAGCAGGAGAAACAGCAGCAGCAGCAGCAGCAGCAGCAGCAGAAAGCGCTGCTGCTCCTCCTTTTCTTGTTGATGTAGGCTGCGGTGTGGGCAATGCTCTTATTCCTATTCTTCTAGGTGAGATGATACATTTATATTTTTATTTTATTTATATATATATTGAATATATGTGTTTTTATATATATTTAGTATATATATTATGTATATATTAATATTAATTTATATTAATGTAAATAAATTAAATATAAACAGCTGCTGCTGAGCTGTCTGTACACCTCACGTTGCATTGGGGTTCCATCTGATCTGACAGCTGCATTTTATTTTATTTTTATTTTATTTTATTTTAGTTTAGTTTATTTAATTTTAACTTTAATTTAATTTAATTTAATTTTATTTAATTTTTATTTTATTTTATTTTATTTTATTTTATTTTATTTGTTTTGTTTGTATTTATTTCTGCTTTCTCACAGCTAACCCCCAACTGCATGCAGCGGCAATCGACTGCTCCCCCCGAGCCATCTCTATCTTGCGGGTAATTTCACTTTGCTGCTGAGGTGTACGTACACCTCACTCATGCATGCATGCATGCATGCATGCGTATGTGCATGCATGCATGCATGCATGCGTATCTGTGTTTGCTTAGCATCTGTTCTGATGTGGGTTTGCTTTCTGCTGCACCAGGAACGATGGGCTGCAGCTTGCGCGGAGCAGCAGCAGCAGCAACAACAGCAGCAGCAGCAGCAGGAAGAGCATGCAGCAGCAGCAGGGCATCCGCTGCCTCCGTGCTGCACATGCAACCAACAAGTTCGAGTCGCTGCTGCTGATCCTGCTGCTGCATCTGCTGCAGCAGATGCTGCAGCAGATGCTGCTGCAGACGGTGCAGCAGATGCTGCTGCTGCAGCAGCAGCTTCGCATTCGCCCAATATCTCTGAATGCAGCTCAGAAGCACACGCATGCAGGACTGCTGCTGCAGCAGCTGCAGCAGATGGTGCTGCTGCAGCAGCTGCAGCAGCAGAACGTGCTGTGTCAGCTGCAGCAGCTCCTTGTGCTGCAGACGATGATGAATGCTCACCGAAGATAAATGGGAATCACTCTGCTGCCCCTGCAGCAGCAGCAGCAGAACCAGCAGCAGCAGCAGCAGCAGCAGCAGAACCAGCAGCAGCAGCAGCAGCAGCAGAACCAGCAGCAGCACCAGCAGCAGCAGCAGCAGCAGCTGCAGCAGTAGCTCGTGGTGAAGCCCAAATATATAAATACAGCAGCGGCCAGCTGCGTACAGCAGCAGCATTCGATATAACTTCTGCTGCAGTGCCAGCAGCAATAGCAGCAAAAGAAGCAGCAGATTT